TAGATTTCTTTGATTCATTGATTCTGTTTCTCTTTTCCTTCTGCCACTTCTAGTGCACTGTGACTTGTGTTGTGACCTAGGTTTGAGCTGTTCTTCAAACGTTCTATGCTTGCTAATGTTCTGTGATGAAATTGAGAGAAGAAAATTCAAATTCATATGACAGTTGGATATTTCAATGCCACATTTTCAATAATTGATAAACTGAGACAGGGTCTCCGTAAGTCACTAAAATGCCCATCCTGGGCTCAATGTGATCCTTCTGCCTCAGCCTCCCAGAGTGCTGGAATAACAGGTATGTACTACCATGCTGCCCTCTTGCTTTCTTTTTTTGTATGTCCTCTTGCTTTCTGACTGCCTTCTTTTGTGTTAAATGTTTTAGCATACCATTTTATTTCCTGTGGTTTTTTAAAAAGAAATTTTGAGACAAGTTCTTGCTATATAGTTCAGGCTGTCCTTGAACTCGTAGCAATCCTACTGCCTCAGCCTCCCAGAGTGCTGGGATGACAGGCATATGCCACTGCACCAGACTGAATTTTGTGTTTTTAAAAGAATAGAAGAAATTACCAGGTATGGTGGTGCACACCTGTCATCCTAGCACTCTGGGAGACTGAGGCAGAAGGATCACCATGAGTTCGAGGTCAGCTTGGACAACACAGTGAGATTCTGTCTCAAAAAGCCCCTCCCCCCAAAAAAAGAAGAAATGAAGAGAAACGTACTGAGACTTTTTTTTCAGTGCTAGGGATAGAACCCAGGGCCTTGCACATGTTAGGCAAATGCTCTGCCCCTGAGCCATACCTCACCCTGTGTGACTTTTATATTAATTCATTTATTTATGATTTCTGTTGGTCTTCATTTTGCGGGTTTTTATTTTCTCTTTTTGAGGCAGGGTCTCACTATGTGGCCCGGGCTGACTCTGAACTTGCCACAGTCCTCCTGCCTCAGCCTCCCGAGTGCTGGGATGACTGTGTGCTACCACGCCTAGCTAATTTGTTTTGTTTGTTTGTTTGTCTTTTTGAGGCAGGGTGTCAATATGCAGTTCAGGCTGGACTTGAGCTCACTTTGTAGCCTGCTAAGATTACAGGTGTGCGCCACCGTGCCCAGCTAACTTTTTTTTTGTACTGGGAATTGCACTCAGGACCTTGCACTTGCCAGGCAGGCGCTGTGCTGCTGAGCTATATCCCTGGCTTGCCTAGCTAATTTTTAATGAAATTCCATTATTGCACAGATAGAATGATGGCTTTCACTTGAGCATATCAGTCCATGTTCCTTGAATCCCTCACCCTTCTACCTTCACAGCATCTCTTCTTTCTAGATTCCACAGGAGAGAGAACATGTGCAATTTGTGTTTTTCTTGTGTAACTTTTCCCTGAAGTGTGCATCACTGGTGTCTCTGCTAAGGTTGTTTCTAGTTTTAAAAAGTGTGTAACCTGTTTTTTTTTTTTTTTTTTTGTGTGTGTGTGTGTGTGTTTGAGACAGGGTCTCACTATGCAGTTCAGGCTGGCCTTGAGCTCACTTTGTAGCCCAGGCTGGCCTCGAACTCGCAACAATGCTCCTCAGCCTCCCGAGTGCTGGGATTATAGGCATGTGCCACTGTAACCCGGTTTAAAATGTTTAGCTTGAGCTGGGTGTACTGGTGCACACTGGGAGGCTGGGGCAGGAGGATCAGAAGTTCAAGCCCAGCCTGGATAACTTAGTGAGACTCTGTCTCCAAAACATTGTGGGTTTTTGTTTGTTTGTTTGTTTGTTTTTTGTTGTTTAAGACATTATCTCACTATGTAGCCTAGGCTGGCCTTGAACTCATGGTGATCCTCTTGCCTCTGCCTCCAATGTGCTGGGATTGCGCCACCATGCCCGGATCAAGAAAATTATTTTCAAGAAGGCCTGGGGATGTGGCAAAGGCCCTGGGTTCAAACCCCAGTACCGGCAGGGTGCTCTCCCAGCTTTGTGTGGTGGGCGCACCGCTTGGCCCTGTGCTGCTGGCTACCTGGGACAAGTTGCTCCCGGGACAGTGCTACTGCAAACTCAGTGAGCCCTTCGTGCCAGGGCAGAGGAGTTGCTGGTCTTCACGGCTGCCATGGTGAGCAGACCAGAAGGGAGGGGCAAAGCCTCAGGCCAGGTGCCACCCACTTCCGCTGTCCGTACCTGGTGCCCCGCTGCCAGCTCCTGCACCTTTGTCTGGTTTACAGATCCAGAAGGATTCTTTGAGCAAGTTTTTGTTTGTTCATTTGTTTGAGACAAGGTCTCGCTGATATAGATCAGGTTGGCCTTAAACTGGTGGCAGTCCTGCCTCAGCCTCCGAGTGCTGATGACAGGCATGTGCTACCTCGCCTGGCTGCTTCTTATCGATGTTGTCAGTTTTCAGGTCGCTTTTTGGGGGAGATTGTTTGCTGGGATCCGCATTTGGCCATAGCTGGAGTCTTGTCCTTCCCACCTCTTTTTCGTCCCATCCTTTCGATCGGTCTCATAAATAGCTTAGAGCTGGCTTCTTCAAAATCCTGTCTTTAGTTTGCTTAGCTATGGCTGGCTCTATTTTTGACATGCTATGTTTCTGTTTCTTTGTTTCCTTCTCTTAACTTTTGGATTAGAGGAAATTTTCCTTCATTGTTTGATTTCCCCAGCACTCTATGTATGTCCCCACAGACGTCACTCTAGAAAATGTAATGAAACTTGAAGTGAGTCACTCTCAAGATGGCAACTAGAGGGCACGCTTGTCATCCCAACACTGGGAAGCTGAGGCAGGAAGATCCCCGTGAGTTCAAGGCCAGCCTGAACAGTGAGCTTGAAGCCAGCCTGGATTATATAGCAAGACTTTTTTTTTTTTTTTGTCTTTTTGAGACGGGGTCTCTCTATGCAGTTCAGGCTGGGCTTGAGCTCACTCTGTAGCCCAGGCTGGTCTCGAACTTGCAACGATCCTCCTGCCTCAGCCTCCTCAGTGCTGGGATTACAGGTGTGTGCTACCACACCAGGCTATAGCAAGACCTTTATAAAAAAAAAAACAAAACAAAACCCCCTCTGCACCAGCACAGTTCTGGTTTCCAGTTTCCAATGCTGGGCGTGGCTAGGCTAGAAAGTCATCAGACCAGAAATAAGGACCTAGTGGAAGTAGCAGCAGGTCATTTGCCCCTCTTGGCTCCATCCAGGAATGGAGGTCATGCTGCCAGCCACTGCTGGGCACGTAGGCACTTGGCTGGTCAGAGCAGGACCTCTAGCTGCCGGGCTGCTTGGGGGAGAGTGGAGCGGTGCCTGGGCTTGCCGGACACCGTGTGGGCCAGCAGAGTTCACACTGGACCTGCAAGATTCCTGCTGGGTTTGCACTGGTGGCCCTCAGGGGCTGGGTCACAGGCTCCCGCCAAGACAGGTCTGGAACAGGTTCCTGGCCCCATGGAATGTGTCCCCTCCTGTCACCTCACCACTTATCACTGCTGGCCTCCTTCAGCACATGGTTTCCAGCAGTGACCATCAGGAGTGGACATGTGCTGGAAGGAACCCAGGGGGCCCAGGCCAGGCAGATACAGCAGGGGTGCTAGGACAATCACACCCAGGCTTCAGATAACTGGGCTTCCATGGCAGGGGTGCCAGGCCACAGGGAGCCACCAGGAAGGGTGGGGAGGACTGGGGGACACGCAGCATCACTCTACCTTGTCACCAGTTGTTTTAAAAAAATAAAAAAACAAAAAACCAAACCAAACTAAACTAAAACAACAAACACAGAGCTGTATCTCAATTCTGCTAAGATAGCACATTTTGAAATTATATAATACCAAATCTAAGTATGATGTAGGGGCTTAAAGACAGGTTCTAGCTATGTAGTTCAGGCTGACTTGAACTCACTCTGTTGCCTAGGCTGGCCTTGAACTCATGGTGGCCCTCCTGCTTCAGCCTCCTGAGTCCCAGGATGACAAGTGCGTGCCAGCACAGCCGTGCTTGCGCTTCTGCTCATTACACATCTTGGAGTGCTGTGGAGGGACGGTGTGCAGTCAGTGTGGGCAGCACAACCCCCGACGGAGGGCTGACGCTCATCTCAGCTGGGCCTGCTGGGGCTGTTCTGTCTGCACTCTTACACAACTGTCCTCAGCTTTGCTATTTGTATGGGGTTGTCACACTCTAAGTAAAATCTGTAGCAGAATTGGCAAAAAAAGCAGGCACTCAAGCATAAGTGCCACATGATTTCTCCTATATGAGAAACCCAAAGTGTAAATAAAAGAGCAAAATAAAAGATAGTAGGAAATGGGGAGGCAGATCTTTTACAAAAGGGAAGGGAACAAGAGAGGGAGGGGGTCAGGAAGGAGGGGAGGGGTGAAAGGGAGCGGAAATGTGTTCCACACGTCCCCACTGCCGGTGAGGAGCGGGATCATTACATACTGCAAACGTGGACTGATTGAAAAGTAGAAATGTTAAAAAGATCATATAAGCTGGATGTGGTGGCACACGCCTCTCATCCCAGCACTCAGGTGGCTGAGGCAGGAGGATCTTTTTGAGTTTAAGGCCAGCCTGGGCTACTCAGCGAGACCTTGTCTAAAAAAATAAAAGGCCCCATCCTCACGTCTTTCTGTGGGGTGATCTATTTGTTCTCCACTGTTGTCACAAGTCACAAGTGCAGGGGCTTAAAACAAGGCAATGTCACTAATGTTCTACAGGTCAGCAGATCAGAGGAGATTTCCCTGGTGTCACATGAGGGCTGTGGCCCCGGAGCTGCTCCCCCTTCTGAACTCAGGGATCCTCCTGATTGTCACCTCAGAGCCATCTGTTATTCTCTCAGCAACCCTGCCGTCAGGTCACATGCTTTGTGTCTTCGAGACAGGGTCTCGTTATGTAGCTTAGGCTGGCCTCAAACCCACCATGCTGGGTGACACCCTCTAGCTGCCCTCTGCTCTGCCTTGTCCCTGTGGCAGAGGATGACAGTTTCATAGTCCCTCCAGTGACAGCAAGGACAAGGACCCTGTCCCCCTCCCCCCGCAACACCCCAAGGAGCTCAGGAAGCAGCACGTCTCAGTCCAGTATCTTAAATAAACCGTTTATTTCAGGAGGAACAATTAAAGAAAGCAATCATGATGTGGATTACAAAAACAAGCGCGGCCCTCACCCAGTTTCAAGGGTGACAAAGGACTGCCAGCCCCAGGCCGGGCGTGGCTGTGGTGTGTGACTCCGTGTGTCTGCAGCTTGGCTCCATCCCACCCCAAACCCACAGCGGCTGTGCAAGCCCCAGAGCCACCAATCAAGGCCTTCATTCTTCTTCCTCCCTGTCCCTGCTGGACACCCCGTCCCCTCAGGGCCGTCCCAAAGGGTTCCAGGGGTCCCCTCACAACCAGATGTGCGGCCGGGCACCCAGAGAGGCTGTCCCCGGGGATGCCGGCCACCCACCAATCTCTGGGTCCAGTGTTCACCCAAGCCGGGGTCGTATAAGCGGGGAGGGCCTACACTGGTGGTCGTGACCAGCTCCTCCTCACAAGTGGCCACTGGGGAGTGGGAAAGGGCTGGGAGCAGGTCCCTGGGGCAGAGGAGGTGGCGCAGACAGCCCGCTGGAATGGTCCCTTGGCTAGGGAGCCTCCGAAGAGGGAAGTAACAGTCGCAGAAGAGGCAGGTGCTAAAGCGTGGGGGACAGGCCAGTGGCCCCGGCTGGCCCCTAGGCACATTTCATGGGGTTCCCGTGGCTGTCCCGAGTGGGCAGGGTGGCCTTGCTGTGCCACCCGTGTGAGGTATTGAGCTTTCCCTCCCCCCAACCCCCATGAGGCTGTGCCCTCCCCTCCCCCCTCTTGGGTGACCTAGCACCACTGGGCAGGGTGGGCGGGGAGCAGCCCTCAGCCCCTCCGAGCCCTATGTGGGGTCCAGCTCGAAGACCCCGTCGCTGGTGGGGGTGGTGAAGAAAGATGGGGGGTCAGAAGCTACAGAGCCCTGGCCCCGCAGGCGCCGCTCCTCTAGGCGCAGGCTGCGCTCGAAATCCAGCAGCTGCCCCATGAAGTTGAAGTTGGGCGAGATGTTGGACTTCTTCCTCTTCACCAGGTCGTAGGCGTCATTGAGGGACAAGTGCAGCTTCTGCATGAGGTAGGCCACGGTGACGGTGACAGAGCGGCTGACTCCTGCCAGGCAGTGGACGAGCACCCCGCAGTTCTGGGACAAGGCCTCATCTGGGCAGGGCAGTGCGGGGTCAGTGACCCAAGTACAGCCATGCCAGGTGGCCTTGTGGAGAAAGGGGCCCTCGAGGCCCTCGGCTTGCCCTCCCCCAAGTGCCATCGGGGAAGGGGAAGGGCCAGGCCAGGTCAAAGGTGTCGGCAAGGGGGCACAGGACTCACCAATGAACGTGATGGCCTCCGGAAAGAACTGGGACAAATTTTGGCTCCAGTGGTCTGAGATGGGGATCTGCTTGTAGTGGAAGTCACCATTCTTCTCGAAGAGGTTCGGGAGGTTGGGGGTGACATTGAGGATATAGCGGATACCCAGCTTGGCCAGGCTCTCCAGGTTGGCCGAATCCCGGGCACTGCCCAGGTAGAGGTTGGGCAGGATCTGGACCGGGAAAGCAGGCATCAGCCCCACAGATGGCGTCGTGGTGGCCTCGGAATCCAGGCCACAGCTCATGGACTCACGGTCAACTTCAGACTCGGTGTCAGAGTAGTCGGAGGGCAGGCACAGGCTGCCCAGCCCCACTACGGGCAGGGGGCTGGGCAATGGCGCCAGGCCCAGGCCTGCGCGGTTGCTGAGGCTGGTCTCACACAGGTGGGGGCACTCGGCCTGGAACCTGCTGAAGCCACCTGTTGGGGGAGAAGGTCCTGCTGGTGACCACCTGCTGAGTGCCTGAGGCAAAGGACAGGGAGCCGCCCCATCCAGATCCCGGAGGGCAGAGCTAAAGGCCAGCAGCTTCATGTGCCCTGGGGGCTGCGGGAGGCTGTTTTTGCCGCAGGTCCAGCACCCACTGCAGCTACTGGAAGCTTGAGTCATGGGGCGGGTCAAGCTACCCAAAGGGCCTCAGGGCCCCAAGGCTGAGCAGCAGCAGGGACAGTGGCCATCAATTCAAGAAGGGACAATCGGGTGTGCGTTCACCGCCTGAGCCGCTGCCTAAGCTGATGCCGACAGGGAATGGGACACAATGTGACAGTCCCAGAAGCCACATATCCTCAGTCTGCAGTGCAGGGCCTCTGTCCTTGGGCTGGGGCCAGGGGGCCTGCAAACCTGACACCTTCTATGTTTCTCTAACCCCAGGGCAGCCCCAGGCACTTTCCTGGTGGCCGACAGTGTGGAACATGGGGACGGCTGGCTCTGTGGGTTCATGGGAACCTCGAGCCTCCCTGAGGAGAGGCTTCTGGGCTTGGCGAGGAGCAGACAGGCCTGTGGCAGCCTGTTGTCCCCTCCAACAGCCCATTTGTCCTGCACCCGGCCCTGGTCTCTACTTCTTGTCCTGCACGGCTTGTCCAGGGGTCTTTCTTTGATGGTCTGGTCTCCTGCCACTGGCCCAACTCCCTGCTCCACGCTATGTAGCCCCACTTGCCCTCAAACTTGCTGGGATCCTCCTGCCTCAGCCTCCTGAGCGCTTGGTGCAACTTTGTTCTTGAGCATCCTGTGAACTGCGTAGGCTGGCCAGGTTCTGGGACTTAGGGGTGAAGTACCTGCCCAAGGTCTCACTCCAGCTCTCTCCCCTCAAAACAGCCTGGCCCGGAAATGCAATCTGGGAGGGAGGCTCACCTCCACCTCGCTTTAGCCACAGAAAGACTGGGCGCCCAGGGTCAGCCATGCACGCACCCCCTGAGGGCCCTGCTCCCACCTGCACCCCCACTTACCCTGGAGATAGTAGGCCAGGTAGCCTTCCTCGCGCAGCTTCTGCAGCAGGATGCCCAGCACTGACTCGGCCTCCCACTCCTCAGCCTCGGCTCCGGCCCCGGCC